ATTTTCTTTGTTCTTGAGAATTGACAACAAAAATAATAAACACTATTTATTTATTAGATTGTTTATTGGAATGGTTGGCAAAACATTGGCTAATTGCCAATTAATTTGAACTTTATAAAATGGTAAATAAGGATTTATAGTTGGTTCACATATTTTAATAATTTAGTAAATGTTTATAAATTTATTTCTTTAGGACAGAATAAATAATAAATATTGTATTAGTTTTTAGAATGTTGTAAATATAAAATTATTCTTATAAATAAACAATCTAATAAATAAATAATGTTTAATATTTTTGTTGTCAATTCTCAAGAACAAAAAAAATGTACAAATTCACTTTCTTAAGTTTTATTACAATTCTAATCATCACTTTTTAAAACAATAATCATTGCCAAAGAGTGAAAGGTAGTTAGAACAATAGCAGTATCAATGGAAAAACTGTCCTTTTGATAATGTTTTTTTTTTGTTTTTTTTTGCAGGCCTGAAGATCCATATTTGGTATCTTTTGTATTTTTAATTCTAAGATTCCTTATTTTGGTCATAAGCCAACATGGCAGAATAAATACCTTAGAAAATAAGTGCACACACTTTTTGCAGTACAAGTTTCTTGGAATCACCGCAGTCCCCAAATTTACCATTTTTCTTAAAGTCTTAAAACCAGCAAAAAGAAAAAAATATAAGAGAAAATGAATCCATGATTGCCCACTTCTTTATATGCCATATCTTCTCATGACATAGACAATTATGGCTCTCCACAATTTCCTGTCCTTTTAGCTCTTAATAAATTTAGTATTTTTGTTATTTCTCCTAAACCGTTCTGCCATCCATTTACTCAAGTTCACACTAAGTATATTATGCATTATTTTCCTGTACCTCTTGCCTTCAATCTGTTATGTGAGTATCAGATTTTCCAAACCCTCTTTCCTCATTATGTGCCCTATAAATTTCAACTATCTCTTCTTGATCTTAAGTATAAATTTCACTTTTTTGTCTCATTTTCAAAACTCTTGTTGCTCACATATTTTAGGTCCATATCCTTTTGCTAACAAACCATCCACTCTGTTTTCTTGCAGTTGACGTTTAATCCTTTCTTGCTTTCTTTTACTACCATCTGCAGGAGTTTTTGTAGCTTTCTTTGCATGTGCTATCAACACCGTGTCATTTGCATATCTTATGTTGTTACTGTTCCTTAGAGATTCTTTAATAATCTTCTTTGTTTATGACATTTCTTAATGCATAAGAAACGTTTTTCAAGAGTCACTCAAGATAGAGGGTTACTGAGTAAGGTTAATGGAAAAGTGAAGGAGTAAGGCAGTAAAACATCAATCCCCACCCCCAAGTGATATATGTAAGAACCAATTGAAACAGTTGTCAGAGAGCACAGCTAAAAACTACTCTTTGCATTGTCATCAAAAGACCCCACAAAAAGCTACTGCACAGTTCATATCCCATTCACAAAAGGAAATACAGCAGCCCTAATACAGGTCATCATCAACTTACAACCACGATTGCTGATGACTGACAGGTCATAAATTGATCTAGTCATAAGTTAGCCTGAAATTAATTTTGCATTCTTTCTGTTACTTCAAGTCCCCTCTTCATCTTTGAGGAGATTGTCTAGCACTGACTGCCATACAAGAGAACAGATATCATGTAACAGTTTAGTAGTTTTCCTTGTTTTTAGCAAAGTTTTTCTATTTCTTAATACTCTGCTTAGCTTTTAGAAGGCATCTTTAGCTATCCCATTGTGTGTTCAGATTTCAGTGTTGTACTTTCCATCCTGTTAAAACACTTCCCAGATATTTAAATTCACACTTTAGGTCCATATCCTTTTGCTAACAACCATCCATTCTGTCTTCTTGCAGTTGACGTTTAATCCTTTCTTCTCGCTTTCCTTTACTACATTCTGTAGATATTTTTGTAGCTTTCTTTCTGTGCCTGCTATCAACACTGTGTTATCTGCATAGCTTGTTAAGATTATAGCTGCCGATTAATGAGTTTAAAAAGAAAAGAAAAAGCAACATCAGATTTAGAAAAGACATTTCTTTTTAATATATATACAGTTATATACATCTGTACAAGTCTCAAGTAACACTTAACAAAAGGTTTATACATTGTCAGCATTGTAAAAGTGGTGGTGAGCCTCACCAATCAGGAAATTATATCCAAGCTTCACCTGCAAATCTAGTTTGTCCCAGATTACAAAAAAAAAAAAAGCACATGGCTAAAGATCATCAGCCCTTTACCCATCCTATCCCACTGACATCAGTAGCATCATGGTTTTGATTAAGGGTAGTGCCATATTTCTCTCATTTTGTCTGGTTGTGTTTCCACATTAGCATTGAACATTTCCTTTTTTTTTTAACCCATAGCTGGAGTAAAAGGTGGATTCCACTCATGGTTTTGAATTCAGTTGTCCTTCTCTGAGCTAGTGTGTCTGGTGTGCCCTGCTATGTACACCCATTGTTTTAGGAGAGAAAACATTAATTTCTTTATATAAGCTTTATAAAAAAAAACAGGACACTACAAGCTAGAATAGTCAAAACAAGGTGAACAGAAAATGAGGTATCCTTTTTGTCAACATTCAAGTATTAAACTGATCACCCATTTATTTAAAAAAAATTTTAAAAAAAAACACACAAGTAGGCAGTGTTTGAATGTTACCATATTGTGTGTTTTTAAAACAAATTTTTTTTTTTTTTTTATTCAAGTTGCAGCCGAATTCCTTGTGTTATCATGATAATGGAATATTCCAAGATAATATTCATTAATTTTTCTTAATTCAAAGATTCCAATAACAATGAATAAACTTTTATTCAAGTAGTTGAGTTTTTCTTCTGAGACTTAAATTTTTTTTCTTCCATTAATTTTAGCTTTATATATGTAGAGATTTTATGCAATCATCAGGCAATCCATTCTTTCTACCTCAACATGTTTACTTATTGAGAATGTATCACAGATTTTCTTACACCAATGCAGCTCAGTTTCAGTATCTTTGGTTTTGGTTTTCAGAGCAGCCACTTATATTTGATATGATGACATGCATTCTTATGGTTTCTGCAAAGTGACATGCCCTCCCCCCCAATGTCTACACTGACAAACATCTAAGATTTTTACCATCATAACATTCTGAAAACTTATGTTACATATATGCACACACGAGTGATTCCCAGAGTGTCTGTTTGCAAAAGTCTGGAGCTGGAATGTTGAAGGTAACATCAATCAGCTAAGTGACAAACTTTAGAGAGAATTGTAAAATTTCTACTTTAATATGTCTTGTTGAAGAACTCATTAAAAAAGGAGTTTTTTAATATTTTTTTTTTTTTTTTGACAAAAACAAAATCTACATTTGTTCTTGTAAAATAAAATTCTTTTACTGATGATGCCAGCTCATTAGTGAAACATGTCAAAGTAGGAGTTTTCATAATTGACTTATATACCATTCCAACAGATACTCATCCAACTTCTTTTTTTTCTCTCCCTCCATCTCTCTCTCTCTCACATTCTTCAAAATCTATCTTCCCCTTTGAACATTTTACTTTTTTTACTCTGTATATGAACACAGTAAACAAAAATAATAGTCAAAAGTGTGTGTGTGTGTGTGTATATATATATATATATATATATATATATTTCTAAAGAACTAATAGAGTTATTTAATCTGACATTTTTATTACTTCAAATGTAAATTCTTAGCAAAGAAAAATGCATCTGGTCAAGGAATTTTCTTTACTAAGATTTCTTGAATGAATGCATGTGCAGGTAAGCCTGTAATATACATTATTTAATAAATAAAAATAGGGCAACTATTTCAAATATGGAGTATCCACTGTAGTGACGTTTAAAGTATATGTATATATATATATATATTATTATATATTATTATATAAAAAAGATTACTTTTAAATATAAATTTTTTCCCCCTAACTTTGAAGTTTCTTGGTAAGATTTCTGTTATTCAGGGGGTTCAGTTATTGTGTGTGTAAGAAGTAATGGATTTTTATTAATCTGACAGATTTTTTATCACTTTAAATGTTATTTTAGTGGATACTTTTATTTGAGTAGACGCTCCTTTTATTTAGTAAACAATATAATGTTTAATCTTTAGCACCGTGGATTATTATTCATATTACTTCCCTTCCCCCTGCATTCTTTTTCAAGGCCTCTCAATTGCAGTAACCTTATTGTTAATTTCACTCAAAGTTGTTTTCTGTGGCCATAGTGGGATATGACAACACAACTATGAAATTCAAATACACTATTGTTCAGTGGCAGCATAAACTTTTTGTACAGCAAATGAAGTCACATACAGAGTGATAAAGGTTAAAGTGATGAAATCTGTCAGATTAATAAATGAATTACTTTAGAAATTGCTGTTTATGTTTGAGCATGAAACTGGGCAGATATGAAATTTTGAGAATCTATGATGAGAAGGATTTCACTTAAAGGCACTATTCAGCCTTGCTTAATCAACAAATGTCCTTCGTGACCGAGTCAGTATAAGCATGTTGCATCTAAAGATGATTTCTCCTGCCAAGGAGGATGCAAGTTTGAATCCTGTTGGAAGCCATGTATTTTTCTTTAACAAGATTTCTTGAATATTCAGGCCAGTAGACATAAATAAATGAAGTGTGTACTTAAATATGGGAATACACTAAAATAATGTTTAAAATGATAAAATATTAAAATCCTATTTTAGTTGAGCAAAAAATTTCATCCAAAATATTTAGATTTCAGCATTAAATAAACCATAGAGATCGATACGCCGCCAAACAAAACCAACCAGCCGACCAACAAACGACTATTCCAGATGGTACAAGTATTTTGGTAATTTAGTAAATGCTAAGTATTGCCCAGGTTGCATGAAATGTATGTCAGATGTAAATTCTACCAAACCTGTTTAGGCATCAAAAAATTTAAGAAAAAAAAAAAAAAAAATTGAATTTTTTTTTTTTTGCAATACAGTAACATTCAAATATTGACCACTTCTTGTAGCTGTTTTAAAAAAAGTCGATTGCTTTCTTCCGACGAGGAAGATTCAATAGGTTGTCTGTGAGAGATGGGAAATCTGTCATTTCACTACTGGTGTCATCTCCAATACTAGGGTCAGAGTCTTTGGATAAAGTCCGTTCATTTGTACCTCTGTCTGGAGTTCGGATTCCAATCTCACAACCTGGAGTGTTACTTCGAGCACTGCTGCCCCCACTTCGGAATGAACAGCTCCCTGGAGATTTTGAATCTGGTCGAAGAAAGGATGGCGATTTTCGAACATGCAAGGGGCTTGGACTGTAACTAGCCCTTAAAGCTTTATCTGTGTGGTTCTTGATACGAAGGCTGTGGCTGGCGAGGCGCTGCGCAGCTGGGGACATGCTGTTTAATTTGTCAGTTGTGCTCATGCCAAAACGAGGAGACAACGATAAAGGGCTGAAAAAGAAACAAATAATGCAAGATATGATATACAAATCTATAATGTAGAATATGATAGATAAGCAAGTGAGTAATTGAAGGACAAAATGAAAAAAAACAATCCAATGTGACATTTTGTCCTTAAAAAGGACTTCTTCAGACTATGTATGAATGAATCCAAAAATAAAATTATTTAGTCTGAAGAATTCCCTCAGAAGGATGAAATGTGTCTCTAGATTTTTTCCTCACTTTTTTCATACAATTACTCAAAAACTCTGTATACCAGATTAATAGTAGGGAAGTGAATAACAAAATGAAAAAAATAGATCAGTGTTTCTTGATATGAAATTGTGAAGTCCACCATTTTATATATATATATATATATATATATATATATTTGAAACCTTTAAAACGATTTATTCTACATTCAACATCATCACTTGATAAGACACCGGAGGTGTTGAAACAAAATGGCTATTTTTGTAGTGATTTTGTAACATATTTATGTTATAATTTTTAAATAAATAATTATTTCTGCTCTACTATGTATTGAGCACTCTTTTAAGAATAGTAATTGTTGATTATTGGAATCTATTCCGTATACACCAATCCTATACTTGTGTGTGTGTGTGTGTGTGTGTGTGTGTGTGTGTGTATATATATATATATATATATATATATAGAGTATCCACTATAGTGACATTTGAATGATATATATATATATATATATATATATATAATAGTGCGCAGTGAGTGCTTATTGTAAAATAACAGCTAAAATTTATTCCTCATTGTTTGATACAATGCACATGGTAATTGAAAAAGTGTGTGTGTGTATGTATATATATATATATATATATATATATAACACACATACAGACATATATATGATTAAATACAAAAAACAGATTTAAAAAAAAGCACTTGCATAAACCCAATTACAAACAAATATATACATATATTGCCACACAACAAATGTAATCAAATATACACATCCAAATTCAATATATATATATATATATATATATATATATATATAATGAATATATATATATCAACAACAACATTCCCAGGAAGCTTGAGTACCACTTCTTTGTTTATTTTTGGTCTCATTGAAAAGGGACTCAGGCATGTCCAAAAATTCCAACTTTAAAATCTTTGTCTTTGTGCTTCAATTTAGTCAAAAGGCCTACTAATATATAATAGATATTATAATAGATATATTTGGAATTAAAACATCCAGCCACATATTCCAAAAGGCTACTGAGAAAGTTTCAGAAGGAGTAAAAAACATTGACTATCAGGACGACATAGGTATAGGTACTCATACTGAGGAGGAGCTAAAGAATAAAACGGAACAGGTTCTGAGCAGACTAATTAATGCATGTATGACAATTAATAGAGATAAGTGTAAATTATCCGTGAGAAAATTTCATACTTAGGGTATGTTGTGGCCTTTTTAGGGCCAGAAATAAAGACACAAAGAGAGGAATTGAGTTAAACAAAAACAGTAATACAAACATATACAAACGAGAGGGTTACAGCAAGAATGTTTGGTCTGTCAGAGCTGACTGCTGGAAACTTTCCTCTCCAAAAGGCAATACCTGCTCCTATTTATAGTTGGGAGAGTCCATGCATGCATGGATAAATTATCATAACAGGGTATCAGATATCTAAAGATGATATCTCACCAGATGAGAGATTTATTAGCAAAATATCAGAAATAAGTACACATAAAAATAAGAGTTAGAATCTCTCTTGGATTTGACTAACTTCTGTAATAAATATATACCTTGATAAAGTGACATGGTTGAACCTTTTGCAAACTTGAGAAAGTAGAATAATGAATTTCAGTGAGCTGAAAGATAGGTGGTGGCCAGGGTATATGCGAGACATGAAAGATTATGTCAGAAAATGCCCTAAGTGCGCAAAGATTCATTCATGGCCAAAAGAGGAGACATGGATAAGAGTACACATGGATGATGCATATATTAAAGATGTAGGCCTATTCTTTATACTAGTAGACCTATATTCAGGTTGGCCTGAAGTGGTTAAAGTTTCAAACAGAAAAGCAAGTACTGTAAAACAGGTGTT